ATGTATGTATGTATATGTGTCATTTTTTTTTTTTTTTAGTTTCCGTTAACTATAATCCAGATTTAGGGTCTTCACCTCCCGTTTCAGTCGGTGAAGTGAAGGCTTTTCAGTCTGATAAGTAATGAATTGCTTGTAAAGACGTCTGTTTTTTTGTTTTTGGCTGTTTGTTATCTGTCATACATGACGGTGCATGTCGTCTCCATGTCTTGATTTCAGCTCACAGCGTTTTTGCTCTTGTAGGTTTAGCGTTTGCTTTATTTGCCTCCATTCTCACACACACACGCATGACAGTAAGCATTTATTCTCAGCTCTCAGCACACAAGAGCAAAATGCTTCAGACGGGGCGAGTCAGACTGTCATTGCATGCTGATGAACAAAGATGCTTCGTCTGGACGCTGGAGTCACTGCAGCTCACACAATGACCATCAGTTACTAATATGTGCTTTCACTGTATGGCTTCATGATGGGCAAGACCGAAAAATAGCATGCCTCAAGTGCATTATTGATTATTGACAAAACATTTAATGCCTAATAAAAATAACAATTAACACCCAGCTTTGCTCTATTAATGCATGATGTGTTTTATTGACTGTCCTTAAGATGGCACTGTTGTGCTGGATTGAGCTCCTGCATGAGCTCTGGATTTCTAAACATTCATCATGATTATAGAAAGTTTCTCTTTGCTGTTCTTGCAGGAAGTAAGTAGGGCAGAGAATATAGATCTGTGAGCTGCAGCCGACGCAGATGTCCAGGGAATAGAGCCATTTTTAAATGCGTCTTCATTTATTTATTTCTTTGCATATTTGTGGGCGGGGCCGTGCATGCTGCATGCGACGAGGCTGATGAGACAGAATGATTGACAGGTGTGAAGTACTAACCAGCGCTGTTGTTCTCTTCCCGTCTGCTGTGTGTTTCTGCCCTGCGTCGTGTCTGTTTCCGCCCCGTGTCTCGCTTCAGACGACTAGATCTTCTGCTCGTGGCTGCGGCTGCGTCTCGATGCCTCTTCTTCTCCTCTCGCTCACGCCGCTGAACCTTCTGGAAAACCCATTCCTGACACCACCTTCAAAAGCCTCAGCTTTACACCCTGCTTAAGGACTTGGGATGTGTTGAGAGACGGAGAAAACCCTGATTCCAAACCCTAGTGAGCTGCTGTCTGCATAGGCTGCTGCCTACTAAGGGGTCGTTCACACAGGACATGTTCAGTTTTATTAAACCATTGCGACTAGCATTGAGTACAGTTTCACTTTTATCAATTCTGATTCTGCATGTAGAATCCGGTTCTTATTAAATCTCGGTTCAGATTAAAATATTTACAAAAATTAGCCTACCTTTTATTCCTGGCACATTTAGGCTATAATCACTACTGCCAACTCAATATTTAACTAAATAACATTTATTTAACATTCAAGTAAATTCTTAACATTCAAGTAGCATTCAAGTAAATGCTACAGATATTGAATAATTAAATCTAAAAAAAAAAAAAAAACTGCTTGGTTTTCACACTGTGAATTAAATAAACATTATTATTATTATTATTAAAGCTACAAAAGTGATTCAGTAATAAGCAGTGAGTGATTTTCCAAATAGGAACCGGTTCTCGATACCCAACCCTACTCGTGACATGTCTGGCTGATTTTAACACAGAAATCAGGTAAAGTGTTGTTGGGTAAAATATGCATTTTTCTGATAATGCGTTACTCAAAATGCATAAAATCATGGAACACAAAAGTTGGGTAAAATATTGTATAAAATATGCATTTTACTAATAAAGTGATACAAAACATGGCATTCAAAAACTATATTAAACATTGTGTAAAATATGCATTTTTCTGATAATGTGTTACTCAAAGTGCATAAAAACATGGAACGCAAAAGTTGGGTAAAATTTTGGATAAAATATGCATTTTACTAATAATATGATACTCAATTCACAAACACATGGGACACAAAAATTGGGTATGATATTGGGTAAAATGTGTTTTTCTAATAATGTGATACTCAAAACACAAACATATGGGACTGATAAATTGAGCAAAAGTTATCAATTTTTAATTAAAGAGTTTTATTAATATTCATTTTTAATAAAAGTGTCTTAAAAGGCAGCAAAATCATGTCGCCTGACTTTTTAGACCAGCCATTAATTCGGGAGCACACTATGATGCCTTACAATGCTGACTATGTAGGCGGCTCACTAGGTTTTGGAACACTGTCTGGTTGTCAGACACACTCCAGCCTCTCATTTAAAGACATTTTTCCTCTTCCTCTTCGGCAAAGTCATCTCAGCCACACTGTACAGCAGCATCAGCGGCCGCGGGACGCTCCAAAAATCCCTCCGTAGGCTCATGGGAAACGGGATCTTTTGAGGGAACGGTAGCTCAGAGTGAGAGTTGATATATCTGGTGACGACAGACCGCGGACATACACACACACACACACGATCTGTTTACCGTCTCACTGTCAGGCCTTTCTTCTTTCTCATGCACATTTCACCAGTTAAAGTCAACATGAAATGACAATTAACCCCATTTACTTTGCACATTTCTAGTCTTATTGTGAATATTTTATCAGAGCACATAAAAAAAAAAATTTTTTTTCATATAAACTATTTGTTTAGTAATTTTTTTTAGGCTGCTGTAGTGTCAGTGAATTAATTAATGTTAGTTAATGTGATAAATGTGACAGCAATAATATCAAATAGAGAGAAGAGGGTTATTATAGTTAACTAAAACCTAAATACAAAAACATTTTTGTTACTAGAATAAAATAATATTGAAATTAATTTTTCAGGTAATGTTTATTTTATGTAAACATTAGCTCAAATGAAATATTTAAAAAATATATACATTTTATTTTATTATTTCAGCTAGATTTCTTATTTTAATTAGTTTGAATCGTATCTACTAAAATAACTAAATTTTTAATTCATAAAAACTATACAGACATAAAATAAAAAAGCACAAGAAAATTACTACAACTTAAAAAATGGAATAAATAAACTGAAAATATTAATAAAAACAAAACAACAATATCTCATTGATAGTTAAATATCACTGTCTGACTCTGAATATCCTGTTTCAGCCCAAAATGCATCACAGTGCAGAAGTATGTGGTTTGTGAATGTAATTTCATGTTGGCTTTAAGTCTGTTTTTGTCTTAATATCCTAGAGAGACTTTATTACTTGTGATAATCACTTGATAACCTGTAAACATGCACCGTCTGTATGTCATACGAGTTCTGATGCACACAGCTTTGTTTATCATCATACAGCAGTCGCCCAAAGAGACGTGTTGTGTTTTCATTGCTGCATTTGATTATATAGTAAGATGCATCCTGCACACAAACATATGCATATGAACTCGTGTCTGGCTATGTTAAAGCTCACTACTTTGAGAGCTCAGCTGCCAAAGTTCATCACACACACACACACACACACACACACACACACACTGGCAGCCTGTCGCAGTCTCAGCAGCGTTTATATAATCTGTCTAAGGCCAGAAAATTGACTAAAAATGTTGAAACTTCAGATGTTTGTGTCATTAAAGCCATTTGATGTAGGTATGTAGTTTTCAGTAGAAGAGTTTGTTTATTTCAGGCCTGACGATGCACTCAGTTGTTGTTTTTTTTTAGCTGATGTGTTTCCTTTACACAGCTCTTTCTTTCAGCTGTACGTTTGTTTTTAACAAGTGCATGTGTTTTTAATGATTGATTGATTTGTCTGTTTTTCTAGTCTTCTATGTGGTTTTAATGAACTCACAGAAACCTTTTTCTGACCCACACTATTAAAATGTGTTTATTTCATGCATTATATTCATAGGATCTCTCTGCTTGCAAAAGTGCATTTTTAAAGGTGAGGTGTGCCATTTTTTGC